TTGTTAATCAATTCTGGTGACTAAGCAAAAGAGCTCAGATGCAAAGAAGCACAATAACTAAACTATATATAACAAGAAGGTGAAGAAAAAAAGGATACAGCCCTGTCCAGAGGCAATCTTGAGGACTTCCAAAGCTTGGAAGCAGCCCATTATCCCTGGAACTTCAATACGAGTGGAAAATATTATAAAGAACGATCATTTACACCGACTGTGGCCTCTGTGAAGGTGAGGGAACAAGACTCACCCACTCCTAACACTCCTCCATCAGAGCAGTTGGTCACCGTCTCTGGAGGTGGAGGCACTGGATACAGACATCTGTAGCAGGGGCCTCCACGGTAGTTATACACCGTCAACTGCAGACACACAAAAGATACCGCATACTGTACCCACTGCACCGATGAGGAAAACAGGGGTCTGCCTTCTACCTTACCTGCCCTTCCATCCGTAAGGCGCTCGCCGACACGAGAGGTTTGCCGCTGAGCACGCAGGCGTCGTTCACCAGATAACGAGTGGGGACGTTGTCTGAGCAATCAGCCACAATGTCATATATGAGGTCAGTGAAGTCAAGGCGTCCTCGCGGTTTATCAGACACGCATTACTTACAGCTTCTTCTGAATTTCTCTTCATGTGCGCTGATAAGTAATCACAGAACGAGACTTGGCAGATAGCAGCTATGTGACATATTCATGATTTTACAAGTAGAGGTCTGTGCAATAGAGGATACTGTTGAATAAGCTGTAAAGCGTTTTCCGGCGAGAGCTGCAGGTGGTAGGGAATGCACTCCACAGTGGAATTTAACCTGCAGAGATAGATGCACATTCAAGTAATTCCCTATAAAGTCTGCGTCCTGCATAAACAGCACATTTAATACAAACACCTTAACTGTCCTGCAGCAGCACGAGAGCCAAGAAAGCAACAAAAAAGCAACATGTGAGTCCCGACTGTGGCAGCAGACCTGTCGGAAACCTGCTCGTGCTTCCTTCCTTCTCCATCTTTGCCATCTCGACTTCCAACGCAGAGGAAAAACACTGACAAACATTACAGTCGCACATCATTTGCATCGTGCATGCAAGAAACGATCATTAAAGAGCAATTATTAACAACAAGGCTCAATAAAACTGGGGAACAAGTGCTGCACAGCATTAAATTGATGTTTCAGTTCTTTGCCAGTCAGCGAACTGACGCCCTCGTGTGGCCGTAGGTTAAAGACGTGTGCGCGAAACCACAGAAGGCCTACTGTGTGGCAAAAAGGCACAAAAACAGCTGTCTCTAAAATAACATGTTTACAAAATATTTGTAGACTGGGGTGAAATACAAAACCAAATATAACCTGTGGTGAGACTGGAAAGCGCCGGTGTGCATTATAACGCAGCCCAATGTTTGCACAAAGCATAAAATACACTAATTATCACAGTTACTGAACATCTACTAATAATATCCAAACAGTAAGGTCTCTGTTTCCAGTTCGGGGCGGGAGGGCATTTTTAGACAGATTAGTAACAGTATACTCAAAAAATCTTTCATATTTGAAGTCCTAGATGATTTTGGTATTCTCTACACATCTGCATACCACGAATTATACGCAGTGTACACAGAGAGCAATGTGGGAAGCCGTCGCCTATCGTGTCAGACTGAGCCTGCAGGGCTGACAGCAAATGTCAAAGTAAGATGTCGTTACTGTTGTTGAATGTAGAAACTAAATGAAGAATAAGAGTTTAAACTGTGCTGGGATGAAGGACGGTGGTTTTGTGGCCACTGCACTATGTTTTAGTCCTTCATGCTTACCTGCATGCAACCAAGGCTTCCTTAAAGTGACCAGGACTAAAAAGAGAAATACTCAGTCTCTGGTTTCTTGCATAGATATTAGCAGTTGTTCACATGCAGACACTTGATTGCAGCAATAAAACAGTACCAAGTCTGTACCTCTGAACTGCACTGGCAGCAGAGAGCGCCTTGGCCTGGCCCTGGTTCTCCTCCCCATGAAGCACCTGTCTGTGCAGGTTACTCAGCTCCACTTCATCGTAGTCTAGCAGGCCGAGGCGACCTGGGGAGGCAAGAAAGGCTTTAAAACTCATCAAACACTGATACCAATGAGTATACTCATAAGGTACAAACTTTTAAATTATGCATCCAAAGTTTGCCTGACACCCCACCTGAGAAAACAGGTAGTATAACTCTCTCTTATTTCAATTCACTAAATGTTAAATCTTAAATGTTATACCGTACGTTTTCTTGTCTCTTCAGCTTTAATCGTTTTACTCACCAAAAATTAACTTTTTATGGCTCAACATTATTTTAAGTAAACGCCACTTTTAATGAGCTGATTACTTTGGTGGTGATGTCCTCTAATCAACAAGCGTACCTACCAACACCTGCTGCTGCAAGATACTGCGCCAGGGGGCAGCCCAGTCCTCCACAGCCCACAATCAGCACGGATGTCTTGGACAGATTCAGCTGACCTGCAGATAATCAGTCCTCACTTGGTACAACGCTCTGAACATCAGACGAGTGTAATCTGCAGCCATCCGTACCTTGCACACCAAGCTCGGGCAGGAGGAGCTGTCGACTGTACCGCATGATGTCCTCGTTGGTGAGAGCCGCTTTGCCTGCGAGCGGAGTTAGGGGCGTCACTCTCTTATGTAGCTCCACCGATGCAGCTCGGCTCTGATGTCACACCAAATACATTTGCATAGTTTTTATTCACCAAAGTCTTCCACAGTTTCCCTCTAAAATCAATCCAGATGTGTTTTTTAAGGTTTTGAAGTATTTTGTGTTTTTCGATAAACTCTGATGTACAAATGTATCGCTGCACTCAGATTACAGCTGCACCATGTGACCACTCTCATTGAATTTTTACTTTGATTTTTCCTTATGTTAAAGAGCCAGTACTCTTAATGTTTTATGCATTTATATTAAATTACAGATCCTGGTTCACTTGAACATTTCACTCTTTTTCATGACAGCTTCCAAGCTATTCATGTTCAAAGAGATTTCAGTCTATGAAAAAAGGTCAGAAAGTGAGTTGGATGAGTTTTTTAAAAAATCCAGGAAAGTATTTGATTCATGAAGCTGGAATGTCAAAGAAATCATGTCCAAACTTTGGATCATCTGGGCGAACAGAAAATGTTCTTAAAAAAATGGATGATTTTGGATTGAATGGTATTAACTCAAAACATGTGAAAACAGGAGGAAATAAAAAGGTTTGATCAGCAAAGGTCAAAGATTAAATGTTAGAAAGAGATAATAATTAATAACTGGCAGGCTAAAGTAAAGCACAAATAGGTGACATATTTAGAAGATAAGATAAACGATCAATAAACATGGTTAGATGGAGAAAACAAATTGTAGGCTCACATAAATGAATATATTAGGGATTTTTTTTTTTAATTTAAAATAAGGTTTAAAAACGTCAGGTAATAATATAATAATTAGACGCCTACAATGGGGAATCTTATTTTATAAGAATTAATGCAAACTTTTCATCTTAAACTCTGAGATTTTAAGGATTAGGTGAATATGAACTCTTGTCTCAATGATGCATTTAATATTAATTATGCAGCTGGTTGCTGTGGCGACACCTTGTGATAGCCGGATAAACTCTGAGGTGTTGGAGTAACATAACGTCCTTCCCCGATATCGTCACTAAACTAAGCTCCCATTATGCTCACGTTACTGCACCGTTAATGCCACACAAGAAATCAGGCACATGAAACACACCGATACACAGACGTGAATTCACTTTCGCACCTTTTCCAGTTGCGCCAGTTTGTTCTTCAGAGTTGCGATCTCCTCCTCTTTCTCCCGCAGCTGCGCCTTCAGGCCGCACACCTCCTGCGCCATGGTGCAAAGAAAAAAACCCTACGTTTAGAAAAATGAAGCTCTAAAGCAGGAGACTCCTCTCAGACATGTTGACATGCCAAACACACGGTGCAGGCTTCCGGGTTGGTCACGTGGTAAAGACACCACGTGGTAGATGACGTCTGGAGCGCCGGTCAGAAAAAAATATCAAAAAGTAGCTAAATAGTAGAACATTTTAATTAGATTAAGAAATAATAATACTAATATAATATAAACAGGAAAATTCGTCAAATATTTTTGTGTTTATTTATTTTTGCCAGGGCGTATTCTTAAAAACATTATAGGTGAAAAATTATGCATTTATTTAATTAAAATAAATAGAAACCTATTGGGGGGGGATCCTAAGGATCTGTTAATGCAGTGAGTGCCAATTTACCGTCATGGTTTGGGTTCACGTGTCCTCTCGAAAGCGAAGGAAAAATAAAATGTAAAGTTGCTATGAGAGCTCACTATGCTAATCCTACACACCCCTGTACCAGTGTGCGGTGACAAGTGGCTGATAACTCATTTCCTATATGTCCCTGAACATACGGTTTTCACTGGGGTGCTTTTGGGGGGATTATAGAGGGGCTCATAGGAAACCAGGAAATCCTCTCTATAAGAGAGAAAACCCAAACACAAGCACGTGAGTTAAACGATTTTAATGCGCACAGAGCTCGTGACTCCATAAACACAGATCAGGAGTTGCACTGGAACAATGCAGCTGCATCTCTAAATGGCAATGCTTTCATAATCCCATCAAAAAACAGAGAGCAACAAAATAATGCATTAAAAAAGATGAAAACTAAAACATCATTAAGCATCATAAATATACTTCATTGTTATGTGTTTACGATAAATTGTGTGCATAAAACAATAAGGAGGGGGCACCAGAGTAAAGCTCCCGTTCACGTGGCTGGGCTTTGCGCTGTGACCTGCAGCTTATGAACATACAGAATGTGCGGTTTGCTGCTCAAAATGAGCACCTATCAAATGACTCTGGGGTCACTGTGTCAGGCACCCATGCGGTTCCTGGGAACACACACACACACACACACACACACACACACACACACACACACACACACACACACACACAC